ACTTATAGTACATTACCTACTAACTTTAACTTTAGTTATAGTACGTCGACGTGTAGTTTACTTCGTCACTTGTATTACTAACTCTACTACCTCTCTCTCTCTCTCTCTCTCTCTCTCTCTCTGTGACAAACATGAGAAAGTCTTCATGTGCTATAATACCAATTTCCTTTGGGCATCTTTTCTTATCCCTTGGGTATGTAATAATTTCATCATGGAATACACCATTCCAGGTATTGCACAGTCCCATAATCCCCACTAGCCTCGAATCATGACCTAATTTGTATATTTTTTATGTCTTGATCAGGGTAAGCATGGTTGACATTGTTATTTTCATGCAAATTATAAAGGGCAATGATTTCATGCAATGGTTGTGTAAAAGATGTACTATTAAATCATTCAGGTTTGGTATAAGGTTAAATCATTTGAATAATAAAAAATATGGAATCGGACGGCTAGAGGTGTCAACATCTCATACAAAGTCCAAAAAAAAAAAAATTGGACTTTTGGGTACTGCCAATAATATTCTCTTAGCTATTTGATTTCACACTTGATGGTCAGGGATGATTGTGATTATTTTATACCATGCGGGCTTCCCCAACGGTAAATATGTATATTTTAATTTAATTTGGGCATGTATGGTATAATCCATGTGATTATTGAAACCCTATGACCATGAGGTTATCACCATTTTGTCAATTGGTTAAATGGTGATGGAATGGATTCAACCTAGCGCTTCAAATTAATATTTTTTATCCATATGAATCGAACCTTTTCATTTTTACCTTTTGTCTTGTTGTGTACATCCCCAACCATAAATATATACATTTTAATTTAATTTGGGTGTATGTTGTGATCCATGTGATCATTGAGACCCTATTGATCATGAGGGTATCACCAATCTGTCAATTGGTTAAATGGTGATGGAATGGATTTCACCTAGCACTTAAATTAATATTTTTTATCCATATGAATCCAACCTTTTAATTGGGCAATGATAAAACACTGTCCTAATTGGACGGTGATGAGCCAATAAGTTCTGGTATTTTCCATATGGATCCTGATATATTTTTTCAAACTATTTTATACTTAATTGCCCATTTATGTTTTCTTACCATAGAAAACTTCAATGGTTGATGATCTTTTCATGCACTCGTGTATGTTTTCTTTTAATGTGTGTCGTAAATGATAGTCTTTGTTGTTTCCTGCAGTAAATATGACCGACTTTTATATCTAAGAATATTTGAAGAGTAGTAAGTTTCACTCTTATGAGAAATTCACCACAGAGCATGTATGGTGGATACCATATTGGTTATTTTTCTCAAATTTGATCAAATTTATTATTAATGTCTCTCTTTTTCTTTTTTCTTTTGCTTAAATTGCTAATATCAGGCCAATTTAACCATAAAAGATGTCTCAAAATTCAGTTTAGTAAAGAACTCTTCGAACCAAAAAATCCTATTTTCTTTGGGGATTATTTCATGAAATTTGTATGTTTCTTACTGAATTTAGGGATTATTTCATGAAATTTCTATGTTTCTTACTGAATTTGGGGATTATTTCAAGGAAATTTCTATGTAATTTCTTTGCCATTCGGTTGACTATTTAACCGGATTTTGATTATTTGCAAACACGAAGAAACCGACATGAAACATGACGCCCTAGAAAACCCTATGGCTAGTAAACAACCATTAAATAACAAGCTAACAACTTTATTTAATAGCAACAAGGTAAGACCGATAATTAGTTTCGAGTTTTCAAACATCTGATGTCATCTTGAGAGAGACAGTTGCTCACGATTCATGCAACTTTTCTTTTCCTTACAAGAAACTCATTTGTTTTAGATTGGCATTGATCGATGTGGAAGAGCCACAATATTCCAAATTCCACTTTCACACTCAAGAATTTATTAAGTATAATATCCCAGCTTCAAATAACCTAGTTTAAAGTTCAGAAATAACATATGGAAAAGTTTATATTTGAGGCCCTGAACAACCAAACTAAGGTGTACGTAAAAAATTCATTGGAAGAAGTTGTTTCAATGTCGAAAAGCCGTCAAAACCGATTATATCAACCTGAAATACACAGAGGTTAAAAAAAACGGACTTCAAATCTTAAAAATAGTGCATCTTGTAATGCATTATCTAAATCGTCAATTTTCAAAATTTTTAGATATTTATATATTTGTTTGATTTGTACTTTTTTTTAACTTTAAGTTTTATAATTAAGGATGAAAATAAATTTTTAAACCATCATAAAGATTTTTAGTACTAAAACGATATTTTTTAACGATATTTGAAGGTGTGCTTTACTCCAATAGTTTAGAGCCTCAACTTTATACAAATCACACACGTAACATATTAGCTACCCCAATAAAGTCAAATATTTTAGCATATGGTTCACCCATGTCCTTACCAAAACCCTATTTCAAACAAAGGGGATGAAGAAGAAAAAACATTAAAGAAGAAAATTACTCAAAGTGAAAGAATTAGAAAAAGGAAAATTTTTGGTGTGCTTGCTTATCCGCCTTCCCTACTTTTTAAGGGCATCAGTAGCTGAATTTAGTCCCAAATACTGCAATTTTTTGTTATAAAATTTATAGATTTGGGCTCCTAAAGCAATGAAGATATGATAATATTTTAAAGAATTAAATTAAACAGTCAAAAAAATGGACTAAATAAATAAATTTACGGTTTCAAACTTACTTCTTTTTTTTTCAAATTCACGATTGCGGTGATTGAGATTGTGAATAACTTTGGGTTTTAAAATCAAAACTCTGCAATAAATGCTCATGATATGTACCTAGACGCACTTAAACCTACCCATGGAAAAGTCCATTGATTTGCAACTATAGAAAGAATCTGAGTATTTTCCTCTATTTGTCAACAAAAACAAAACTAATTTATCCTGACTTTTGGGAGCATATATACTACCAATCTTTATCAATCTTTTGCTAGATCAATTTTGAAAAACATCATGTCCAATTCTCAACCTAGAAAAATCTTTTGTAATCTTGAGTTGAAATTATTTGCCATTAGCAAGCATCGGTTTCTTTTTTTTGAGTAGTTCAACAGAAAGGTAAAGTTTATTTATTTTTAATAAAATAAAACTCAAGACATTATTTTGTAACCCCATCACCCTTACCACCTATGCTGAGATATAAAAAATTCCACAAACTTTTATTAAACAAAATAAAGATGATTTTGCCTTTCAAATCTATCTGAAAAGCATGCTGCATCATTACTTTTCCAAAAACTTAAAGGGCTTGATTGTTATTTTGCCGAAAATAAGAGGTCATTTACTTGTTTTCTCTCCTACTCTGTGGGATTCAGGTGAGGTTTACTGCACGTGCGATCCTACTCACTTTCTCCTTCATGCCACATCTCAATCTCGCGCGTGTTATCCTACGTGGCGACGGCGATGCTTGTGCTCTCTTTTTAGATCCACGTGGAATCCGTGGACTGCGGCTCGCGCTGACGTGGGCTTGAGGGGCACTGTTTCCCGCCTTCTGAGAGGTGACCACCTATAAATACCTGGTTTTCCTTTCTTCAAAAATGTCCTGCGATTTTACTGAGTGCAAGGAGAATGAGGTTTGCTGGTTTCGAAACCCTAGGTCCTCTGGTTCACCTTCTGGTTCCTCTTGTTATTCACTGGATCGCTGAGGAGATGACTGTTTCAGTGCTCGTTGATGTTACTACCAGTGCTCTGTGCCCTGGGAAGTCGACTTGTTCTCAAGCTATTTACCTCAGTGGACTTCAACAAACGGTGATTATTTGAATTTCTTTTCAATGATCAACTTTATATGTATCTATTTTGTTCCCTGTATATTCAGTTATTCTGGATGGAGGTCTCTGTTTAGTTTCGTTCTCATGAAAATACTTTTGATTTGTTTCCTCTGCATTTATGTGCAGATTGATTACTTTTCAATATTTTTTCTCATTTTCCTGCAATTTTTGTTTAATTTGTGCAAAGGGATGGCGTTCTCTAAGCTTGTATGTATTTGCATAGAGCTTTGAGAGTGCTGAATGATTGTAACTTTTAACTTGCATAATTTCTAATTGTTATTGTGTTGTCAGATAGACGCCGATTTGTGCTTGTGAATTTTTGTTTCAATCTTAAGATACATGGAATAGACAATACATTAGTGTTATCTGGTGGTCTAGAGTATCTAATGTGGAAAGTTGTCTATCCTATTTCCATGAGAAGCTTTGAAATGTGCAGTTTTGGAACAATTGTTTCATATATGTTATTTTGTTTTCCAGTCATTTTATGTTATATAGAGTATTTATGGCTTTCATCTTTCAATCCTGAAAGTATGTGCTGTTTCTATATTTGTCTCCTACCATGATGAGGAACTCGTGAGTCCCTTGGCTGAGGTGAGTTACTTGGGGACTCGTGTACAGGACCAAAAACCCTCTGATAAATTAAAAAAAGAAAAAGTTTATATAAGGTTGCAACCTTAAAATGTAGAATTAAAGGCGCACCTCAAAAATCCATCATTTTAATGCTGAAAAACTATCTAATTGACTATCTCGACATTGAGATGTATGAATATGAAAAAAAAAAAACAATCGAGTCCCAGAAATAGTGCATCTTGCAACATATTTATCTAAACCGTCCATTTTCAAGATTTTCATATGGTTATATATCTACTTGATTTTAACCATTTTTGGAGTTTAAAATTTTATAATTAGAGGCGAAAATTGGATTTCAGATAATCCTAATAATTTTTTACACCAAAACTTTGGATGTGGGCCTTAATGGGATTGTTTAAGGTTGCAACCTTATAGAAACCACACCCATTAAAAAATGACAGCAACTTTTGAAAAATAAAATGAAGCAAGTAAAAAGTTAAACAAAATAAAAAAACAACCTTAAAAACTCCAAATGACCTTAAAAAAGTATAGAAAAAAATGAATTTTAAAAAGGGTTTACTTCGTGTAAGGTTTGGTCCCTAAACAATCAAAGTAAGGGTACCTCTAAATAGCGTCGAAAGATGATTTTTTAGTAGGAAAAATCTTTGTGATGGCCTAAAAATTTATTTTCACCTTTAATTATAAAATTTAAAGCTTCAAATATAATGTATATCAAGGTTTAAAAAAATAGATCGGTGACCCGGACCGACTACCCCAAAAACTGTGTCAGATCGGTGGATTGGAGATCCAGATCGAAGAATCGGTCATATCAGCCCGTTTTGGTCTTAAAAAAAATTAAAAAAATCTCTAAAAATCTTTAAAAATAATGCTTTTTGAGTTTGGAAAAACAATTGTGGGTGTTACATTATGTACTTTCATTATTTGCAAAAATACGTGAATATTAAAACATTTCCCTGTTTGAATATTTGTATAATTATTAACTATAATATAATATTATAATGCATCAAAATGATTCAAAAAATATTAAAAAACAATTCCATATTAGAAGATTAAAAAAATAATACCTCTTATAAAGTGAAATTAATATCACATCAAACATTTATCTTTACTCATCCAAAATTATCACAACTTAACTAACTATAATATCATACACTGAATATTAGTTTATATGTCATAGTTATTTTACTATAAAAATAAGAATAAATTTAAAAATTGTCCTATAATATCATCTAATTTAAAGAATCTTATTTACTACTATAACAAAAATAATACATTATATATTTTTATAATTCAAATAAATTAATAAATAAAATACTAGATTTGATTATCAATATATAATTATTAATTCTAATATTGTAATAAACATGATTCAAAAAATATTAGAAAGCACTTCCATATCGTATGATTAGAAATAAAAATAAATCCTCTTATAAGTTTCAATGTTATGACATTAAAAAAATATTCAAAAAAATATTTTCCCCTAAAAACTGGAAAATAACAATGTCAAAATTCATAAAAAAAAAAATTTGAATCCCACATCATAGATATCATATAGTATATTTTGCAAAGTAATGTACTTCCATAGTATTATCACCCTACAATTTATAATGGCCAGAGTCTTATTCATCTCAATGAGAAGTTCGAGAGGGGTAAACCAAATTAGTCCCACATCGTAGCTTTTGAGAAGTAATGTGGGTACAAAAGATGGAGAACCCAACAACAATAGAAAAAGGTTCCTCACGTGAGAGGTATAGAGCATGCCTTGGTGGGTGGGGCTAAGGTGCCGGTGGGTGAGGCCAAGGTACCACGCGTGAGGTGTATGTCACATATCTTGGTGGGTTGGGCTAGGTATTGGTGGGTTGGGCTAGAACATACCTAAGAAGTATGCATGTGGCCCTCTAGTGAATTTTTTTAGGAAGTAAATAGTTCAGTAATTGTATAAGAAATAAAAAATGAAAATCATGAGTACCGGTTGAAATGTTCGGTTCACATTGACAAAACAAAATTAGTACGGACCGGCCCAACCTAGCTGGTTCGGAGGAGACAAGGTCGGATCTCGATAAATTACAGGATCCGGATTGCTATCAACGATATCTTATCCGGATTGGGCGATAGGTCAAGTAGATTTATAAACACTTGAAAATATTGAAACTTGACGACCCAGATAATACGTTACAAGATGCACTATTATCCAAACTCACGTCTATGCATCTTGAGGTCGAGATGATGGATTTGAGGGTTTTTAGACATCAAAACAATATCTTCCAGGGAACTTTTGAGGTGTGCCTTAATTTGAATTTTTCAGGCTATAAACTTTTTTTCTTTAAAAAATTTGATTTATAATT